TCAGCTGTCCTTGCTGTGTCCCAGTGTTCCCCTGGTGGGCCGTCTCCCCCACCACCCATGCTCCAAACACTTCCCATGGGCCAGGCATGTGCTGGTCCCTTGTGATGACTCACTGGCCTCTGAGTGTCTCCTTATTTTTTAGTTGTTGTGTCTCCTCACTTCTATGTGGGTCCATGGGAAGCCATTAGTGGTCTTGCTGGCATGAGGGCCACCAAGGAACTCTTCTCCCCTGTTGCCTCCAAGCAACTTCATCCAAAAGGCACAGCTGTGGCTTTTGCCAGCTCCTGCCCCTTATGCTCAGCATTTCCAGCCTGGAAGTGGCCAGTATTTGAAATGGTCTGAGCAGTTATTTTTCCTCTCATTGTGGCTTCTCCTGCCTTCATGCACTCCGTAGGTCTCTCCTCCTCTTCCCCTGAGCTCTAGTGGCCCCAGCTTGGCTGCCATTGCTATTTTATAGTTGTAAACGGGTTGATTTGGGGGAGAGAGTGATGCTGGGGACCATCTATTCTGCCATCTTGACCAGAAGCCTAATACCATGTTTTAAAATAGGGAGACTCAAGATCATTAAGATGTCAAATTTTCATAAATTAATTTATAAATGAAATGGGATCATAATAAAATACCACCAGAGTTTAGTTTGTTTACATGTGAGTAACTGTTATGAGAAGAGGTAAATATTAAATAAGCTGCTTCTAAAGTTTATATGAAAAATGTAAATGAGCAAAAATATTCAAAAAGTTCTGAGGAATGGAGACAGATAACCAACTCTATTTGATGATAAAGCTTTAAAAACTATGATAAGTAATGTCATTGACACATGGAATAAATATATAAATGTGATGAAACATAAATTCCATGAGTATACAAAAATTCTCTAGGGAATATAGTATATAATATTACTATCATTTTTATTTGGAGTGGAAAAGAATGGTTTTTAAAAAATATCAGTGAAAAAATGCCATGTAAAAAGAAGGGTTGAGTCCTAAGAAATAACAAAATTTAGAAGCAAATAGGAACCAATGGTGCAAAAATCAACTGAGATAAGTCTGAGTTTAAAATTAAAAGTACTAGAGAATGCTTTAAGTTTTCTGGATACAAATAGGACATTTTATAGAAAGAAGAAAAAGGGGGCAGATGAAGTCTCTCAGTTTGCTGATGTGCTTAAATTGCCCAGTTTATAGAAGAGCTGGGAAGCAAGGGACAAATGACCTTAAATGTGCCAATTTTTTATTTGGTGTTTCTAAACTTAAGCTTTTCCTTGGAGAAGATGAGGATATTCCAAATACACAGATCCAGGCTGGCAAGGCCAAAAAACTAGCTGCTTGCCAAAAGGCACATAAATTGATTTGTCTCTACAAGTGGTCTTACATTGGTCTGAAACAAGCATAAAGAGAGTGTTTTATATGAGAATGAGCATGAGGGTGGAGGTGCTGCTTGGCAGCCCACTGGCACTGCTTGCTGCTTTCACTAAAGACCTTTGCTTATCCCTCTTCAATTTTTAAGCAAGGCTCATAAGAATCTTGCTCTACCCAATGGCTGCACTGGCCATTCTGCAGAACTGGGCCTGTGTAAGAAGTAGAAGAGACCCCTAGGAGGAGGTAAAAACTTCACCCAACATGTAGGAGAGAGGTGGTGGGGCAGACGTAAATATTCTCCAATCTAGAAAAGTGAATATTCCATCCCTCATAGAGACTTACCTATTATTGGAGAGCCATACTTTGTAAATAAAATTTTCTATTCTGGGGAAATCAATTTATGATGTGGGTTTTTCTTTTTTGAATTACCAAATGAAAAGTAAATGTTTTATGAATTTCCACAAAAAATATACTCTAGGAAGAAATATTGTGGAATGATGTTATAATAATCTAATGCTTCCCCTCTTTTTAAAATTGTTATTGTTATTCTACATTGTGCCAGAGGATATTCATTTGCCCCAGGGAAGGAGAAA